CTCTGACATGAAATGTTTTGTTGAGAAAGAAACCTTCTAAATCCAAAATGAAGCAGAGTTCATCCTGTAACACCTCCATGTTTCAAAATGAATGAATGTTCACTTGGAAATGGGTCTTTATGAGATAGGTTGACCAATCAAAGCTTGCCATGTCACTTCACTCGTCCCAGATCCAATTCCCTTCAGAGGAGCGTACCTACCCCCACCGTCGCCTTTCCATGACATCATTGATCAATCCTCCATTCCTCTTCTTTTCCTGAAGATACACGCGTTCTCGTTCCCGTTCTTCAAGAGTTCCACTTCTCATTTTCTCTGCATACTGATGTTCCCTCTCTTGTCGTTCAGCATACGTTCTCTTTCTTTTTTCTTCTCTTTCTCGAATTTTGGCGTCGTGGATACCTTTCTTGGATTCTACCCCCTTCTATCCAAGCTTTGGCTTTGCCTCGGGGTTCTTGATCCACCCATTGGAAGAAATCGCACCAACGTTTGGAACATTTTAGGTATAATCTCGCTGGATTCTTCTCTGACTGGTACAAGGACATGATCAATAGACGATGACAGTAACACTTCATGATGTGTACGGGTTTGGCCAGGTAGAAGTTGTGGAGTTGATGTTTGGCCGACTCTAAGTAATACTCTACATTGTCCACTTCACAGCTGACAAAACAATTTTGGACGGGGCACTTGTAGTATTCCCAATGGCCATACTGAGTGTTGGTCTCTTTCTTTTGTAAAGTATCGTTCGGATGCACAGGGCAAGAGTACAGGATCTCTGTGTTTCCTCAGATCGCTGGTGACGGATTCCTGCTTGATCTTCGTGGCCTTTGGTTTCTTTTCTACTTCCTCTTTCTTGAGTGCCCTCTTTCTTTTTTGCCCTACTGCTGGATATTTGGGTGGAGAATAGGGATTGTACGAATAATCTATCATGGCGTCTTTTTCTTTCTCTTGTTTTGGTAAACACACACTTCCTTCACTCAACATGTAGCGAGTAGGAGATTCATCTTCCATGTTTGTGGAAAGCTCGACAGAGATAAGTCGTTCTGGCACTACTCTCAACTTGCGAATGATGTCAAATGATGGGGTGAACGACTTATACCAGTGAGACAAACCAATCAGCGAATGCCATGTATCATGACGTGATTTCGATCCTGACCAATCACAACAAGTTACGACCATATACGGAAAATGACGTGATCCGACCTTTGACTTTCACATGATTCAGTACTTTTCCGACGCGTGATCTGTCCATATAAAGAAAAACTGACACAATCCGTACTTTGATTTTCACGTGATTTAGTACTTTTCCAACGCGTGATTTTTGGATCTGACCATTCACACTACTTCATGACCATATTAGGAAGGGTGGCGTGATTCGACCTTTGACTTTCACGTGATGAGGGTGTGCGGTGTGATCTGTACTCTGACTTTCACATGATTCAGTACTTTTACTTTTGACGTCATTTGCAGATCTGACCAATCACAACACTTCTGAAGAGTATAAAAAGAGCGCATAGTTCTTGTTTTTTCAGTTGATCAAGTGACTCAAGAACCTCAGGACCAGCGAGAACCTCTCACACAACTTGAAATATTGCAGATCTTCGTCGACGTGTCCGAACCCTGCGAGACGCTGCTACCAACTTGGAGAAGGCTGCGAAGCAGAAAGGCTTGCTACACCAAATATTTCATTTGAAACTTAGGGTGTTGTCTCCGGTGTGTCACACGTTTAAAGGGCACCTGTTACGGTTTGACACCCGTAATCATCATAATCTTCCACCTTTTGAAACCAAAACAATGCCTTATTTCACTAATAGCAATGAAATCAGACTTCACGTGGATGCCATTTGTGAAGTGGAGCTGCAACCCCTGGAAACCAGAGTCACCCCCAAAGATGTGATTTTTTTTGACATGTTTTTCTATAAACCGTTGGCCGATGATGAGTATTGGACAGAGACCCAATTGCTGACCCCGAGACCCGAATGGCAAAGGCAAATCTTACCCCTGCTCAGGACGTGTCAATGCGAGGTGTTTCTCTTCACCTATGATTGGTTTCACTTCTACTACGTGAAAGAGAGGCAACACTTCATGGTGACCAGGGCATCACCCCCAGTCTTGGACGTGGAGGGAACTTGTCTCTTGACCACCTCCCCTCTGAACTTCAACATAACAAAAGCCCTGAGCGAGTTCTTGGAACCCATTTGTTTCAGACAACAATTGGCCAATTGGACTCTGAGCAAACTGAACAGGAAAGTTAGTTTTGATGTGTGCCGTGATTACAAAAGTATGCGTGAAAAAATGAAAGATTAGCTATTTCACTCGATCAGGAGGTCACCCGGTGGAAGGATCGTTTCTTCTTCGATGCCATGGACCCCGAGGATGAAGATCTTTGTGAGGACTGTAAAGATAGCATGAGTGTTGCTTTTTATGTAAGTAATGATAGGGGCGATGCCTTGAACTGGCGACCGTACACTGGTGACTGTTCTTGGCGTAATTGTAAATATTACAAGCATGATGCACTGGACGATATGTACGTAGAAGTGTGTAAGATGGAAAATGAGTAGTGGTATGGGCTAGTCCAGTACGGATTTGACAGGTATTGTGATGCAAATGAAAAAGTATTGTTATGGAAAGGAATTCTATTGTTTTCTCGAGTTTGACGTATCCATGGTAACCAGAAGCCCCGCCCCCTTTGACGTCATTAATCTCGTTTCCGTGTAGACCGAGTAAAAAGCCTGGTTTCTAAAATAGAGCACACATTTTGTAATCAGGATTTTAATACTAAACTTT